TGAGCTGGTGCGAGCCAAGGTGCCTTTCAGCTCCTGCCTAGAGGCCTATGGAGCTCCGGAGCAGGTGGACGATTTCTGGAGCACAGCCTTGCAGGCCAAGTCTGTGGCTCTCAAGTGAGTGTGTGTGAGTTGCCAGCCAAGCTGTGCTGAGCTGCCAATAGCTGCATCTTTGGGGATTTCTTTTAGTTGCCAGGGAAAGAAGTGTTACCAAAGCTTTGTAGTCCTCCACACCCTGGGCGCATGGAACATTGAAGCAGAGGGGGAACTAGCCTGCTGGTGCTGAAGTGGTTGCCCCCGAGGGGTTACAGTGGGCAGAACAGCAGTACTAGTGAAATCCTTACTATCAGATTTCAGTTGCTGAGGGTGTATGAAAATGCAGCAATATTCCAGAAAACTAGCAGCTTTTATTCTAAATTGAAAATTTAGCTCTTAAATCAGTACTGACAGTGTGGCAACACTGGTTTTCCATGGTCTCTAGAATGTCTTTTAAGGGAAGTTTTTAGCTGTTAAAGTTTGAGCAAAACACCAAGTGAAAGAAAGAGACGCGTGAGTTATTTTGAAGAATGCTAACTTAAATGCTAATAGCAAGGTTTAAAAAACAGCCTTAATTTGTCTCACTGCTTGCAGCACATGCAACAGTGCAAAGGTGTAGTGAGAAGATTACAAACTTAAGCAGCTTCCTGCTGTGATGCTACTGACTGTTCTTCTGCAATGAAAGAGTAGTCCTCAAAAGAACTGGAAGTGTTTTTCTAACAAATACTCTGTTATTAAGCAATAGCTGCTATAAACAGTCAGTAACATGATCACATTGAAAAGTAACATTTTGTTTTGCTTTTAAGTAGTGAGCTGTGTTCAAACACTTTGTGAGAATTAGCGTTGAATATATACCGTTGCTTAAATTAATTTTATGGCATGTTACAATTATCCCCCCCCTAATAAGTATCTGTCTGTCTTACTACTGCTTCTCCCTTCACAAATATTCCCCTCTGTTTCATAGATTCCAGACGCCCTCTCTCTCAAATTGTCTAACTAAATAATGTTCAATCAAATTCAGTTAGCTTAAAATTCACTGCTTCTGCTTTGTATCTGAAGAAGTGCTCTTGTGCTTGAAAGCTTGTCAGTTCCTGCAGCTGTATCCGTCGGTCTAATGAAAGATGTTATTTCCTCTACACTCCTTAAGGGTTAGACTTTTAATTAAATACTACAATCTAAGAAGGCTTGTGAAATACAGGATTGGAAGTTAGAGAACATGTACTATTTTTCCTCATCCCCCAAAATTGTGTAAATGTTGCATTCTGTCTCATCTTGCCAGAGCATCTGCTTTAGAAATGGTTCTGCGTTTGAGGAGCTTTAAGCTCGGCATAGGAGAGCTGCACAGATATGTGTGTGCCCTGCCCTTAGGACATGCCTCCACCCTACTCACTGATTTCTTGAATCAGCTAGGTGCCCTCAATCATTGCTGCCAAAGTATTTAAAAGTATTGTTCATCTCTTGCAGAACAACACGATTCGCCTCTTTCCCGGATTATCTGGTGATCCAGATCAAGAAATTCACTTTCGGTCTGGACTGGGTGCCCAAAAAGCTCGGTAAGAAGGAGAAGTACAGAGCATATAGGTATTGGGAGTCATATGTGGGTATTGTGGTCATTACTGCAAAGGGGAAAGTAACTACCCCAAACAGAGCTGCAGACTGTAGTGTACTGTATCCCCAGGGACTTAACCCTTCTAGGTCTCCCAGCTGAGTCCTTTGTTTCTGTCCCTATGGGAAGGGTGAGCAAGACTGTATCTTGCAGATGTCTCCATTGAAATGCCAGAGGAGCTGGATATCTCTGCCCTGCAGGGAACAGGGCTGCAAGATGGAGAAGAAGAAATGCCAGATATCGCACCCCCACTGGTGACACCAGATGAGCCCAAAGGTAGCCTGGGGTTCTATGGCAACGAGGACGACGACTCCTTCTGCTCCCCTCACTTCTCCTCTCCGACATGTTAGTGATTCTCCTCCTCTCTTCCTGATGCCTGACGCATTTCCTTGCTCTCCTTGTCTTGTCTCCCATGCTAGCGGTTTCCACCTGCTCAGACTTTCCCTGTTCCTCTGTCAGCGAACGCTGGTTCCCTCCCTTGCATGCCCGTTATGCAAGGGTGTTATGCAAGGGAGTTTGTTGATTCCTGTTCTGTGGAAGATGGGGAGGTGGTGTGCCTAGTGCATTTAGAGGGGGCAGATCTGGGGTTTATGCAAGATGCAACTGGTAGAGGCATTTTATTTTCACAAAAGGCAGTGGGAGGTCGGGTTTGGAGGGTAGGGAAGAGCCAGTGCTCCTGAGCTCATGAGTTGAATCCTTTTGTTCCCTGGGGTGCCTGTGTGTGAGACCGTGCTTCTGAAGAAGTTAGCAAAGGATGAGAAGAGCAGAGAGATGGAACTTGAGTGAAACGAAGCCTGGAAGTGGTGGCTGGGGGGGGGCTATGTGGCACTGCACAAAACGGAGCAGGCAGGGCTGGGTGGGAGTGGGTGGCTCTAATCTCTGTCTTCCCGCAGCACCCATGTTGGATGAGTCAGTGATTATCCAGCTAGTGGAGATGGGCTTTCCCATGGATGCCTGCCGCAAAGCCGTGTATTACACAGGGAACAGTGGGGTTGAGGCTGCCATGAACTGGGTCATGTCACATATGGATGATCCAGGTATGAGACTGTGTGGCCATGGCAAAGCTTATTGCATCTGGGCCATCGTACTTCCTGTCCCACTACCACAGTGGAAAACTGAAGTAGTTGGGCCCTCAGGCTGTATCCCTTTTGGAGAGAGCAAACTGCTCTGAGCTGAATTCTGTTTTCTGCTGCAGACTTTGCTAACCCCTTAGTCCTCCCTGGATCCAGTGGGCCAGGGTCAACTATTGCCTGCCCAGACCCTCCTTCAGAAGACAGTGTGGCCACCATTGTCTCCATGGGCTTCTCCCGGGACCAGGCTATGAAAGCGCTTAGAGCCACGGTGAGAGAGGCATGGGTGATGTCAGAGTGAAAGGATATTCCCAGGAACAGGCGTTCCCAAGTTCACAGTCTTCTTCCTTCCAGAACAACAGTCTGGAGCGTGCTGTGGATTGGATCTTTAGTCACATTGATGACCTTGACACAGAAGCTGCTATGGATATCTCAGAGGGGCGCTCGGCAGCTGAGTCCATCTCTGAATCGGTCCCTGTGGGTCCTAAAGTGCGCGATGGGCCTGGAAGTGAGTTCCTAGCAGTAGGAATCTGGATGTTGGGGTGCAAACTCAACATGGCTTTATCCTCCCTAATCCATGCAGTACCGTAGCTTTTACCAGCTGCCACAGAGCTGGCCTGATTGCTGAAGTAGAAGGAGGGAGAAAAAGGAGAGGGATGGCAAAGTAGAGTCTAAACCTTTCAGGATGGGGATTACCTGGAAGCCAGTGAGAGAAAGGCAGGGGAAGGGCTGTGCTGCTTTTTTCCCACTCGTCCCAGGAGGCTCTTCTGTTCTTCGGGCTCCCATTGAAAAACCAGGTTCCAGCCTCTGTGCAGAATCTGTGCCAGTGCTGCTAGGCTGCTGGGTGCTGTAGGGAGGGGGAATCTCTGCCGTTAGCCACCTGGCACCTGTGGGCCAAATAAACCGTTGGAAGAGAGAAGGCTAAGTGGCAGTCACCATCTCCTGTTGCCCTGCGTGTTTGGCCTTTGGACATAATCCTCACAGTCACGCTTGGCGGAGACCCCCTTCTAAATTATTACCTACCCAGCAGAGCTTCCTTCAGGGATGCTTTTCTAGAGAGGGCCTTGGCAGGGGGTGTTTCAGGGTAAGAAGCCTTTCTTTGGCTGATCACGCCTCTCTTCCCTTCTCTCAAGAATATCAGCTGTTTGCCTTCATCAGCCACATGGGCACTTCGACTATGTGCGGACACTACGTTTGTCACATCAAGAAAGAGGGCAGGTAAGAGGGATTTCCCCAGCATAAGGGCATTCCGAGGTACAGCTTTAAATCACTGTCCTCGCCTCTTGGGTCTTGGTTTTTTGGTCTTGGGGGGGTCGGTTGGGGATGAGAGCAGACGAGGGGAATCGAGTCATGCCTTAGCCACGGAATGGTGTCCCTCAGCTCCCCTTCTGCCTGTTGCAGGTGGGTGATCTACAACGACCAGAAAGTCTGTGCTTCTGAGAAGCCCCCCAAGGACCTGGGCTACATCTACTTCTATCAGCGGATTCCCAGCTAGAGCCTCCTCTCGCTGTGTGTGGGGGGGAGAGTGAGCTGAAGGCGTGGGGGGGAAGGGGTGGGGGCAGTGAGGATGAGAGCAGGGTCCTTCGCTCCTCTGCTCCACTTTCCCCACTCGTCCCTTCATGGCCTTTCTATAGAGACACGGGGGGAGACCAGAGTTCCCTGACTGGGGGCCGGAGCCCCTGTGGACATGAGTGAAGCGGGTCGGGGGGGGGTGTGGGGTGGGAATATCTGTTTCTATAGGAAATGTCCTCACTGTCCCCACCCCGGCGTGACACGGGGCCCTAGCACTTTGCTGCTTGGTGGGGTGATGCTGCCTCCTTGCTGCCTGGAAGGAGAGGGGGGGGCTTGTGTGTGTGTGTGGCTTGTGTACGGGGGTTCCTCCCGCCTGCCCTGCCGGGGAGGGCGCGGGGCGGGCAGCAAGGTGGGCCACGAGCAGCGTGTGTGTGTGTGTGTGTCCCCCTTGTGTGCCCTTTACATGCCAAATTACACGAGGGACAAAATAAAAGTCGAAATAACCCCCCCATCCCCGGTTTCTGCCCGCCCTCTGCATTGCTAGGGGCCCTCCCGGAGCTGAAACACCGAGTGGGAGCGCCGGCGGGTGCGGCAGAGGCCCCCTTGCCGCCC